ATTTGGAACTATCTCTTAAGATTACTAGTAACGCCACTCTAAATTTTAAGTAAAAATCTTCTCTTATCATGCATGTGGTTTAATATTAAGTACATTGCTTAAGAAAACCCTAATTCTATAAAAAAATAAAGTACCAGAACTAGTTAATTATACAGTTAACAGTAATAAGAATAATAATAAAATAAAAAAATATTTAAAAAAATAGTTAATTATACAGTATAATCTTGATCATATAATGCAATCAATTCAATCCAACTCATATTAATCCTTCCTCAGATAAAGTGGCAATACATATCATACAACTTATGTATTTTGAATTTTAAATTATTAAAAATAAGGAAAATATTTATATCAATTAGATGGAGTTATTCACATTGATCATACATTGTGATATATATTATATAATGCAATTAGTTCGTGCTTTCAATTTCGTTAATTGATGCTAATAAACCAATGTTAGAATTATACCAAAATAATATTTATTTTTAGTATGATAAAGATCATATAATACAATATTATGGTCAAATTTTATTTATTACCATATCTTCAAATTTCAAAAAAAAAAAAAAAAAATATTGAACTTAATTCAAAATCAAACATGATTGTACCATGTCTGTATCAAACAATCCACATTCATACAATATGACCAACTTTGACCATTTAATTCGGGCTCTTAGGTTTTCTTTTTATTTTTGATTGTAGCTCTTTGAGCGTTAGCGAGCTAGAAATCCCTTTAAGGACTTTTGTAATTTTTCCCTTAATTAACGCGTAAGCCCGTCGGTGGGTTTTAAACAAAAAAAAAAAAAAACTTTGACCATTTAATTATTGTTATATCCAATTTTTCTTTATGTAAATTTGACAAGGTGTATGTGATAATAGTTCTTTTGGAAATCTCTACTTTTGAAACACATTGTAATATAATATATTCAAGAAAAATAAAAAAAGATAGTAAGAGCTTGAAGCAACTGTCATGAAATTTTCATGGGATAATCCTTAATTACTCAATTTCTTGCTTTGCTTAGATTTATTGGATTAGGAGCTTCCTTTGAATCATTTACATATTTTTGAGTGTCCCTAGCATTTTCAAATATTGTTCTAATTTGTACCTAAATGTTAATGCTCAAATCTACACAAAGCTTAATTACATTGCTAACTTGAACTAAATTATATTTGTGATGATTAAAATATGTTAGAATAGGATGAAACCCATGTTTATTAACAATATCTCCCATTTGGATGATGACTAATAAGATACAATTATTCATTTAAGTTTCGAGGTTGATGTTGCTACCTTTCATTTTGTATATTTTTCTAATTTTTTTTATTTTGATGTGTAGCAAATATAAAGAAATGATAATACATTAAAATAAAGTGCTTGAATTTTATATTTCTAAAAGAGATAGCATATAACAAAAACAAGCTAACTAAAGAATCACAAAAACCATATTTCAAGGTAAAAGTTGCAACTTATTATATATACGTAGTCAAATCACAAACAAATAATTACTGATAGTAAATTGCAAATGAAGTAAATGACTAATACAAATACATGAAGATAAAAATTGAAAAATTACACCTTTTGACATATAAAAAAGGAGGATAAATACAAGATTAAAAAAAATACTCATAGATCTATGGGACCTTGATTAAGATTGGATGGTGGGTGCATATAGTCTCTCAAAATAAGACATTGGCTATAAAGTAAAGCATTATCTTTCTCATATTACTGCCACCTCTTAATCTCTTTATTGATGTTATCATTAAATTTGAGCTTGATGCATGAATATTGTTCCATTCTAGCATCGTAAGGCTGTATGTAGGGCCAATAAGCTTAAGGAGATTGGAGTGTAGGTGATAAAAGAAGGACAACATATTCTTCTTCATCACCATCATTATCATTATAAATGGCATGCTTCTTTTCACTAAATATTATATAGTATGAATTTATAGTGAAAGAAGTGGAGATAAGCTCAGCTTGTTTGAGAAATCCAAAAAAAATTTGACTTCAAAGATATAAGCCAAATAGAATATATAAGATAAGCTCATGTTGGTCTAAAAACTCAAGTTAAATTTGACTTCTAAGATATAAGATAACTTAAGTGTTAGATTTTGGCACAAGTTAGTTTTTTTTTTACAAATAGAAGGGAGTATTTCATTATAGTGAATGATAATATTCATGACATAGAGTTTTATGTGAGGAGTATGATATTAGATAGACAATGAGAAAAAGAAATGTGATATTGATTATACTTCTTGCTTTAGGAATAACATTATGCCAAAGAATGTGTTGAATAAAATGAACATTATACTATTAATGGAATTTTTTATATTATTTTAATTATCCTTTTTACTTTGAAAAGACCTCCCTTGATGTGTTTATGCTGGAAAATTTACTTGAAAGCCACAAAACTAAATGAAAATGACCAGCATGGCTATAATTAACTTTGGAGTGACGTGGCATTCAACCTTAAATTCAACTAAAAGTGAAAGAGAAAAGCACCATAAAGGAGGAAAGGGCAATGTTAGAGTGCCAGCTCACATCAATATTGCAGTGCTAACTAGGGCGTCATAGAACAAAAATGCTTGAACTTAGAGGAAGAACATTAATTAATTCATTTACACCAGAGCAATGTGATGTTGATTTAGATAGAGTGCCAAAAGTATGGATTTATTCAATGCTAATAAGATAAAAATTATCATGTTATTTTCCAATGAGTATTGTTATTATAAGCTTGTAATCCTTGAGTTTTTGGTAGGAAATTAAAAGAAAAACAAGAAAATTAAACCAGAACCACCATCATAGCATTGTAGCACCAGAACTCATTTTTGCATCATAAAAGATAGCTTAACAAAATCTATTGGACAGCTTAGCGCTAAGGTGCTACCCAATTAGCATTGAGGCATTACTAAATAGTGCCACAGTGCTAGACTAGAGCACCATAGTGCCAAATCACCCAATATTGTGATGGGAGTCAATTGAACCAAAGAATTTATGTGATGATTAATGAATTGGTGCACTAGTTGAGCTACACCACCAAGCTAACACTACAGTGCTAATTAAGTCAAAATTAAAATATATAAATAGTCACCTTATTCCTCAAGTAAGAGGAGTACACTTAGAGTCGTCATTCATAATGTCATATTGGGAGAGTGTGTGAGTGTGTGAGAGTGGTAAATTGGAGTGTGTATTTTTCGTTCATTATATCAGGGTCTTGAATTAAAGTGGAGTAAAGAAAAAGAGTGAGTAAAGGATTATAGCATAACTTTTAGGTCACTTCTAAACTTTCCTTATGTATTTTTTATTAATGATTTGAATTGTATCTTGGAATGTATTTGTGAGCAAATTAATAAAAAAAAGGTTTGGAAAGTTTATTATGTTTCTTATAAGTTTCAATGCATTTATGTGTAGCAGATAGCCTTTTTTGGATATGTTATGAATTAAAAAAACATGTACTACTTAGAGTAGTGTTGAAAGCTTATCGAATCCATGCTATTTTTATTTTCTTGCATGTTAGTTGGTTTATGTATAGTCCTTCCATTTATTTAAAATGTAGTGTGATCTTATGGATAAATAATTTGACTAACAAAATAATTAGAGAACTAAAAACATAATCCGGTCATGCATAGACATATGTTGGCTCGAGTTATGGGGTCTTAAGAAGAAAATTTAATTGCAATTGCCATTGGTCTTAGCTTAGTTTGTAATGAACTTGATAGAAACCTGGATAATAATAGCTCTAATCCATAGAAGCCTTAGAAAATAATCATGTTCTTTTAAGGATTCATAGGTTCAGGACTTTATAATAATAGAAACTTTGTTCTCAATTTTGAAAGTTACATTTGTAATCATCTTTTTGTAAGCACACTAGCAGTCTAGTAAGCATTAGCAAATTGTATTTAGGATAACTCTATTATTATTTTTCATGTGGGATTGACACTCTATTCATCACTTTATTACTTGATGTGATAACGTGCACATGTATTTTTAAATATATTTGCACATTAGAAAATTGAATTTTCCTTTGACAATTGATTAGAGACTTTAACATAAGTAAATAATCACTTAAAAATATAACAACAATGAGTTTTTAGGAACCAACAAAGCCCAACCGAAGCGCCATTCAAGGATTTGGCACCATTGTTGGGGAATCCAAAACAAGAAAAATTATTATCCTGCATTATATTCTATAATACTAAAATAATTATTAGTTTAATCATTTTTTTAACTGCTTAAAATTTCATTCTATAAACTTTAGACACTACTCTAAGTTGTATCTTGCATTTTTTGGACATGTTACAAAATAAAAATGCATGTACTACTTAAAGTAGTGTTGAATGTTTAATCACAAATACATTCCAAGATACAATTAATTACTAAATTTTAAGCAATTTTATTTAGTTTTTAACTGCTTAAAATTTCACCTACTTTACATTACTTTTTTATTTGATTATCTACTTTTCCTTAGTACTTCAAAATTTCTATTGTGTTTCTTTGTGTTACATGTATATTATTAACAACTAGTTAGATTGCAATTTGATGCTGAAATTGAAGGAACATTAAAAAGAATTAGATAGACTAGAGAATTTGAAAAAGAAATGAAAATGTTCGAAAAATTTCTTGAAGCTTAAAAACCTAAACTTCTTATCGAATATGCCAACCCAATGGTTGAGGGCATTCCATAAAGCATAAATAGATCTATCATTTAAGGAATATAATTTTAACCTATAAACTTCTAAAATATAAATGGTACAAAATGCACAGTTTTGTGGGGCACATTTAGAAGACCCTAATTTACACTTACCAAGTTTCCTAATAATTTGTTTAACCTTTAAATATAATGGTGTTAGTGATGATGCTATTATACTAATGTTATTTCCATTTTAACTGAGAAATAAACCTAAAATGTGGTTAAATTCCTAGCCTTTGGCCTTAATAACAACTTGTTATAAACTTTCTTATATGTATTTTTGTCAAATATTTTCCTCTTTAATAAATTAACAAACTTAAAAATGATATTATATCATTTACATAGATATAAGGTGAATCTATTTGTGAATCATCAGAAAGATTTAAGGAATTGCTTAAGAAATATCCTCATCATGCCCTTCCTAATTGTTTAATAATTCAAACATATTTATAATGGCTTAAAAGGATCCCTTAGATCAATTATAAACAATGTTGCTATGATTCTCTAATGTTAAAGCCCCTTGATGAGGTATATGCTTTGATTGAGGAGATTGATACCAAAAAATTTCATTGGCCTTAAGAACAAATTGTCGACAACATTTTTGTAAGAGGTAAAATCTTACACCAAATATTAAATCATGATATTCAAAACTTTGAACTCTATCTCAATCGTTAAATCTTGTTCTTAACTATGCTTTTTCATATTGTTCAATAAATGATTTCAAATGCTCAAACACTCAATCATTGATAATCATTGGCACAATCTTTTAAATTTTCATTCAAATTAATAAATCTTTTAATCACTATTCATATAAAATCATTCAACCATTCAATCACTTAAAATTCTTTCTTTAAATATTTAATGAACATTAAATCATCAATTAATTTTTAAATTCTTCAATTAAATCAAGTTCTAATCAAGAGCTAAAAATCTAGTTCAAATCTATTGCAAAAAATCCAATTGAAACTCCAAACCATAAATCCCTTTGAATGTTTCCCTTTTTCAGAGGAATTTCTAATAAGAACAAAACCCTTGGTAAAGCTATCATAATTATGTTAGATCATTCATATTTCTACTATGCATGTTCATACAATTTATGTGATAATTTTAGAGGCATCTAAGTTTCTCTAACCTCTAGAAATCAAAGCTTCCATCCATCATTAAAAACCTTCAAATATTTATAGCACCTACCACTAAATAGCCATTTTAATTAAAGCATGATTGTAGACTCTTCCAAGTCATCTAAATATGTTCATAATCATCCTTATAGTTATTTGAACCCACTTGAGTTCATGGTTTACCTTAGTTGACTTGAGCTGATCTACTGTAACCAATAATACCCTTTAACACTAAAATCCCTATATATGCATGAATAATATTGGAAAGCTCAATTCAAGACCTAGGTTTTTCCCTTAAGTACTTGCAAATCATTCAAAATAATAAATAGGCCTAATAGAACCCTTGAATGGGTTAGATTGACCATCAATGATTAAATTGAACATTAAAGCTCATTTAAACCCTAAACCCTGCCTGGAAGCACACCCAAGTAATACAAAACATGTTCAAGCTCTCTACATTTTGGTGGCGACTTAGTGTTTTTGTTACTAACCTTTGTTCTCCTTGTTGTTGGCAATATTTTTTTTCTATTTCTTTCACTTTTTATTTCCTTGTTTTGGTTTCAAATTCTTCTAACTTTTTTTTAAAGTTTTTTTATTTTTTGGGTTTCTAGTTTTAGGAGATGATGAATCCATTGTCATCTATCCCATCATCTATTTTATTTCCTTAGGGTAGTTCATGGTCCTTCAAGGATGCCTTGGCTTGATCTTCATCATCGTGTGCTAAGTTGCCTTTTGTGCAAATATCTTTTAAGGGTTTTTCGGTGTTGATGTTTGATGATGTCATGATTTCTCAACTTGCAGTCCCCTTTTCTTTAACTTTGGTTGGTAATTTCCTACTCGTGCGACCTAATTTGGATTTTATTCAAAAATTTTTTTTGTTAATCTAAAACTCTTGGGTTCTTTTCACATCTATTTGTTGGATCATAGGCACATTGTGATTTCGTTATCTAACAATCTCTATTATAGATGAATTTTCTCACATAGGTCCTACTATATTCGAGCGTGTTAGATGAGGTTGCTCAAATGGACCCTGGATGTTGATATTCATGAGGAATCCCCTATTGATCCTGTGTGGATCTCATTTTCAAATATGTGACTTCAATTCTTTAATTCTCATATTTTTTTTCTCTTAACTTCGATCTTTGGTAGGCCTTTGCAAACAGATCAAGCAACTGCTTCAATTTCTCATCCTTCTATGGCTTGTGTTTTATTTGAATTAGACATATCTAAGAAACATCCTAATGTGATTTAGATTGGTTTGGAGTTGAATAGTTAATTTCAAAAAGTGAAGATTGAAAATATTTCAAATTTTTGTTCTCATTGTAAAATGCATGGCCATGCTTTAAATGAATAATACAGGTTACATCCTCATCTTCGCAGGGAAAAGGATTTAGCTAAACAGTCCAATGGGAATGATGTTATTTCAGTTCCTCATGATAGTGAGGATCTAAACTGTGAAAAGATTGTTGTCAACGATCTTAAATCACCTAGAATATAGGATCTTACAGCCCTTTCTATTCCGCACATTGAACCACATACCTCCAATGTTCATGAACCTATTCAAATATAGGGCGATAATATCAACTCTAGCTCTTCCTTACCTTTTGGAAGTGAAAATGTGGATGAGCACATGTTGGCTATTACTTCTAACCAAATTAGTGTTATTTCACCTCTTATTAGTCCTTGTATTCTTAACAAAAATTTGCCGAATGTTGTTTTTATGTTGTTCAATAATAAATGTTCTAATTTTATAAATTATCTTGATGTTGGTAATGATCAGGAGGATGGACAACCTTTTAGGATGGAAGGAAATACTTGCACTAACATGTGTAGTAAAGAAAATATGGAGGATGGTAATACCCTTGAGGAGGGTCAACAGACTAAGGAGGTAAGGAAGGTGGGTTTACATAATGATAGTAAGTTAAATTCTAATCCTTATTATTATATTGGTGCTTTTATTGATACTAAGGATATTGATATTATTGCTAAATGTTTTTCCAAAGATGATAATGATGCTAGTTTTACAAAGTTTCAAAATATGAGAGGTAGGAAAAGCGAGAATATCATATTACAATCTCTTAGAACCACATGTTTGCAAACTAGTCATTAGTAATTAATTTTATGTTTAAATATATGATTTGGAATATTACAGGTATTGGTTGCCCCTCCTCTAGGTTAAGAGTGAAAATTTATATTGTATTTATAATATTTTTATTCTTGTTTTGCTTGAACCTCTCATTAGTTCTACACAATTACTTAGTATTGCTAGAATTTTGGGTTTTAAACATGTTGTTTCAAATTCTGCCAATAAGATTTGGGTGTTTTAGAATGATCCTATTTAGCTAGATGTGATTGGTGATTTTACTCAAGTTATACATTATAGTATTGATATTTTAAACTTATCTTATTGTGCTTTGTTTTTTTATGCTACCTCTTCTAGCATTACTAAGAAAGGTTTATGGGAGCAACTTACTAATTTCCACAGTATCTGTAATTTGCCCTGGCTTGTTGGTGGTTATTTTAATACTATCTCTAATCCTGCTGAACGCATTGGGGGCTCTAGTCCTATCACTAATTCTATGGAGGATTTTAATAATATGATTATGGATTGTAACCTTGTTGACATTAGTTTTTTTGGTAACAAATACACTCGGAATCGTGGTCATTTATGGCAACGGTTGGATCGGGCTCTTTTTAATGATATTTGGCTTAATTCTTTCTATTATATTTCTGTTGAGCATCTTATAAGGACACTTTCCGATCACTCTCCTATGTTAATTTGTCTTAAGACTTGGCATATGACTTATTTTCCTCAATTGAGATTTCAAAACATGTGGTTGTTTCATGAGTATTTTATGGATTTGGTTTAGGAAAATTGGTAAGCTCCCTTGCATCCGAATAACTCTTCTTTTGGTATGAAAAGATTTTGGTTTAAACTTAAAAGGCTTATCCAAGTTCTCAATTGGTGGAATCGTAATGTTATTAAAAATATCTTCAGCAACATTTTGAATGATGATGATAAAGTGAACACTTTTGAGCTTAACTATTAATTATTTCCTTCTAATGATAATTTAGCTTTATTAAGGGATGCTAAAAATTATCTTTTTAAATTACAAGCCCAGGAGGAAGCCTTTTGGAAATAAAAAGTGATTGCGAGCATTTTGTTTATGGTTCCAATAACACTAAATATTTTCATTCTTTGGTTAGGAGAAAACATACCAAAATCTCCATCCATAAAATCAATCGTGATGATGGTTCAGTTACTAAGGATGTTGAGGAAATCATTAATTTAGCTGTGCAACACTTCCAAAGGTTTTTCAATAAGGATTTTTCTCCTACTCACATTGATAACCCTCCTTTCATCCCTAACCTCACATCTCAAGAGGATAATGATTCCCTATCTAAAACTCCTTCTTTTGAGGAAGTTAGAGAGATGGTTCATAGTATGAATGTGGACTCTGTAGCTGGGCCCGATAGTTTTACCACTATGAGTTTTTCCAAAAAGCTTTGCATATTATTAGTAGTGATTTTTACTCGGCTATTTTGGATTTATTTATTGGTAATACTATTCCTAAAATTTTCACCTATACTTCTATTATTCTTATTCCCAAAATTATTTTTATTTGTAATTGGAATGATTACAGACCTATTAGTCTGTGCATCCTTTTTAATAAGCTTCTTTCAAAAATTATTATGACTTGTTTAACTCCTAATCTTCCCAAAAATTTTTCTCCTTTTTAAATGGGTTATACCAAGGGGAGAGGCATTGCTGATAATATTTTGTTGGCCCAAGAATTTTGTAATGACTTGAAAGTTAGGGTGAGAGGTGGCAGTATGATCTTAAAGCTTGATATTTCTAAGGCTTATGTAAACCTTGATTGGAACTTTCTTTACAATGTTTTACATTTGTTTGGTTTTAATTCCATCTTTATTAATCTTATCAAAAACTACATTGAGGGGCCTTAGTTTTCTATTATTGTGAATGGTAAAAGTAATGGTTTTTCAAATCCTCCCATGGTCTTAGGCGAAGAGATTTTATCTCTCCTGCTTTGTTCATCATTGCTACTAAGTATTTATCTAGAGGTATGGCCAACCTTTTTGAGAAGCACCCTAGCCTGTATTTTAAAACTATGGGGGGTTTCCCTGATTACTTCTATGCAAAACAAACTTTTTCTTGGGATGCTAATTTTCTGAGTTTTGGTGGCAGATTAGTTCTTATTAAAAGTGTTCTTTGTTCTCTTCTAGTTTATATTTTGCAAACTATTCAACCCACCTAGGTAGTTTGTAATAGAATTGATAGA